TTTAATGTGCCACATGAAAACCAACAAAGTATAAAAAGTAACCGGGCGCCAGATGAAAACATGAAAATACAATCTACCACAAAGTGGTTCACGTTTGTTGCATTTTCATGTTTTCGCCCGGTGCCCTTGATGTAAAATACAAATCAGCCTTCATAAAATTTCTTATCATAGATATTGTACATGTATTAGCACAGTTATATTCACTTTCAAATTGACCTGTTATAAATAATGGCATAACCAATAACTGTCTTAGCCCTTTTTAGTAAAAATAATTATACAATAATAATTAATATAAATTGTTATTTTAATTAAGACTATGAGTATGTAAGTTTTTTTTTTCTTATTTATTAATTAAGAATTAATTATCTGTTAATTTAAAAAATCTAAATATCTGTCACGGTTTAGAACTGTTCACTATTTAGAGGAGAAAATGTGTAAGCGGCCAGATAGCTCAATCGCAACAGCCGCGTACATTATTCTGTGGGTCACAGGTTTGAGTTCTGGTCAAGCTGAAAGTTTTTCTCATCCTGTTACTGCAAATAACCATTAGTTTAATTACTATGCTCTGTAAACATCAGAAATTCAAGTACATGAATCAATATAGTGGGGAAAAAGGTTAGGTTTAGAACTGTTTCATTATTAAAGAGAAAATGTGTAGCCGGCCGGATAGCTCAGTTGGTCTTCTGAAAGTCACGGGTTCGAGTCATGGTCAGGCAGTTTCAGTCAGGGTTAAGAAGTGGTTTTTCAACTGACACATGTTTGATTCATTTAATAGATTGCATTTAATTTGAAATGGACAAAGGCAGTATTGCGTGATACTTTTAAATCTACAAAAGGCATTTGGTACAGTTGATCACACTATACTGCACATGAAGAAGTTCTTTTTTCTTCTTCTTCATGGAACTTCAAGCATCTGCCATATGTAATGACATTCTTGCATGGTTCAAGTCTTATCTCTGATAGCAGCTGGTGAATGTGGCTGGTACTCCTTCTCTCTGAATACCTATGGTGTCCCCCTGATGTTCATTTTAGGTCCTCTTTTATGTCTAATATATGTCAATGACATGTCTGCAACCCTAAGCAATAAGCTTTTATTATATGCACAGGCACAAGTATCAGACCTGGGAAGAAAAAAATATTACCAGATTAATAAAAAAACCTGTGTTCATCTTAAAAGTGTCACAAACCAAAAAAAATATGTAAATGATGACCCCCTTTAAAAATATACTTAAAGTTAATAGTATATTTTTAAAGGGGGTCATTATTTACATTTTTTTTTTTTTGGTTTTTGACACTTTTAAGATGAACACAGATTTTTTATTAATCTGGTCATATTTTTTCTTCCCAGGTGTGATACTTGTGCCTGTCATTATCAAACTCCTCACAGTGATTACCTCCCTTGGCAGAATTGTAATCACTGCCTTCAAAGACGTCACATGATGATGAAAGTCACATGACGTAACGTCGAAATTCAAATGTAAATATCGACCGTTACATAGAAAATCTAATGTCATTTTTCTCTTCTGTTTTATTTTTAACTTTTAGTGCCTACGTTCGATATAGTTTATCAAAAAATTATTAAAAGTATACAAAATAACGAAAAATAAATTCAAAAGCTAAAAAATATAAAATATCAAAATATTGTCTCGGTAGAAAATATTCTCATTTTTTTAAAATTATTTCTAAATATTCATGTTATTTATTTATTTATTCATAAACATTGTTTAATCAATGAGAAAAAACTTAACTGATAGATAAAAGCAGTAAATAAAACAATTTTTGAAAAAATATAGTATATCAGAAATTCTGATATATTAGGGACCTTGGTGGCAGAGATCTACGCCGAAGAATTAAGGGGAGATCACTGTGTGGAGATTGTGTCATTATATGATGATGACTCAGGTATCCTTGTATCTGGTAAAGTAAATCTTAAGATTGGTTTATTGACTATAAATTGTCTTTGCATCTTGGCAAGACAGAGTCTATTCTTTTTGGTTTAAGTTTCAACATAAACTGGGCCAAGCCTCCAGGTCACATGAAATGGTACTGCTGTAAAGTACACATCTTTTGTTAAGTATTTAGGTGCAAACCTGGATCAAATAATTTAGGCGTCGCCCTTTGATGCTTTGCATCAATGCTTTTCTTGTTTAAACAACTTAAATGTTTCTCGTGGGTAAATTAAATTTTAAACATAGAATAGCTTTCTTATTTAGAAAATATACTAAGTTCAGCGCACCATTGTTTCGGTTGCTAATGATAAATCATATGTATTTACATGTACAGTTGTAATATTATCGTCATTATTACACAGATATGAAAAACCTAAATCTGACAACATATTTTTAACAAATAAGACAAATTGAATTTGTGTTTTGTTTTGTTTTTTTGGTTTTTTGTTCAAAATAATACCATATATTACATGTACAATCATCACATTAAATAACGTACGTGTATCTCTGGTTCGCATGTGTGTTGTTGATCAATCTAATGGTAATTTATCATATTTATTCTGTTGTTATTTTACTGAAAAATGATATTAATAAATGATATGTTTAAAAAAATATTAAATGATAATAAAAATATTGAAAATGAAAGATATACATACTGTTGAGTTGATGTTTCCAACCGAATTACTCAAAGACTGACTGACGATATCATTATATATTGTTTAACATTGCCGGATATATGGCTGCTGGGCAGCCAGTGGCACAGAACTACGTTATCTTAATGATAAATTTCTCGGATACCTTAAGGTACTGAAAACATTAACAAAATTAATGACATTTATTGAACGTGTGCGTATTCACATAAAATGGGCGTTGTTATTTTAAATTCTTAAATGGATAACTTTAAAGTTGATGTACATACAAATATGCAGAAGAGCATATTATCAATGTAGCCTCGTTTCCATTTCTAGAGTCTTAAACTTCCACATTTAATGCATATCGCAACCATACAGTCTCGTTTTAACTTTCAGAGTCCTAATATCTATATAAAATGTATATCGTATCCCACTTAGCTTCTTTTTTATATTCAGAGTCCAAACTATCTATATCAAATGCATGTCTTACTCTATTTAGCCTTATTTTCAATTTGAGGGTAAAATCATATCAATTCCTTGTTTATTGTAATTGAAGTAATAAATGTGTTCTGCCAAAATGTAAAATGGTGTTGTGAAATAAAGAGGTCATTATACATGCACATTGTTGAGAACAATATTGGCCCTATTAGACTGCAACAAAACCTATATCAGACTCAGCTAGCGTCTCGTCCAATATAGTTTTATAAACTGTATACTCGTCTAATAGAATTCAAAATTGTACTCAACAATGTATGGCAACGTATGAAATTTTACAAAAACACATTTCTATACGGTCGATGCTTTATCACCATATGGACTTATTTCTGCCGCCCAAAGCTGTAATCAGTTTAAACAAAATTTGACCTAAATGTCAAGCAATAGTATAAATGACTCTAATATTTTTATATTACTGCCAGGAAATACAGGAAATAATGATTAAGTATGTTTTTGTCGAATAACAGCTGACACAACAGCCAGGCTTCTGCCGCTACAATCAGTAACTAAACTTATCAGCACTTGACTGACTTATATATCCTAATTATAAATATTGCCTACAAATATGCTTATCACTAACGACATTATTTGATTTATGTCCCTATTATTGTTTTGTTTTCTACATGTCGTTGTTTTGATTTAGTGTTCTATATGTCGTTGTTTTGATTTAGTTTTCTATCTGTCGTTGTTTTGATTTAGTTTTCTATCTGTTGGTGTTTTGCTTCAGTTTTCTATCTGTTGTTGTTTTGCTTTAGTTTTCTATCTGTTGTTGTTTTGCTTTAGTTTTCTACCTGTTCTTGTTTTATTTTGGTTACTACCTGTTGTTGTTTTGCTTTAGTTGTCTACCTTTTGTAGTTTTCATCATCATCATCATGATCATAATTATTATTATTATTATTATTATTATTATTATTATTATTATTATATTATTATTATTATTATTATTTGCAGTTTTTATTTTGGTATTTTGGGGGTCGTTTTTTTTTTTTTTTTTGTTTTTTTTTTTTTTTTTTTTTTTTTTTTTTTTTTTTTTTGATTTAGTTTTACTCGGAGTGTTGTTGTTATATTCCATAATCCACTCTAGCCTTCGTAAATACCTATCCCCACTTTGATCTTATAGTCCGTAATCCTTTGGTTATCGTCGCCGGTATTGTGACACTATGATCACTGTTATGAAAGATACAATTGAGTTCACACAAAAGGTTACAAAAAGTGCATTTGGAGTGCACTAGATGTGCACTTCTAGTGTACTTCAATGTGCTCTTTAAAGCAATTATATGTATGAAGCAGTTAGCTTTTATTTCAATAAATAACAATTAGACTTTTGCAAAAAAATTCTAGTCCAACTCGAGTGCACTATAAAAGTGCACAAGGCTGTGAAGTTAAGTGTGAACTCAACTGTAGATGACAGAAATTTGAAGAACAGGAAACGTTTAAAGTGACTGTCGGGCTGGCCGAATGGTTCACGCGACGGACTTGTTATCTAAGGATTGTTGACCGCGTGGGTTTAAACCCCCTCCGGGGCAAGCCGTTATTTCAGTTAGCACGAAATTTTACACTCATTACTTAGTACTTGTTGGTTCCAGGAACGGATTCAATAAGCTAGTAGCTTCCAACACAATCGAACTAAAATAAATTGGTATAAACTAAAGTGACGTAATAGATGAAGAACTGGAAACCGTCTGTTGTGGTTATATTTTAAACCATTGAAGTTTTATTTTTCCGATCAATGTTTTTGTAGAAACAGAACCAGTAATAACAAGTTAAATAGAAAAAAGTACAACAGACCAGAACCAAGTATCATATAAAGCTTAATATTCAGTTTGTAAAAGTTATGCCCCATTCTTATATTGACACCATTAGCAAATTGCAGAATGGACATTCTAAAATAAAATAAAATAAATAAATAAAAACAACACAATCGAGATGTTAGACACTTTTAATGAATTAATATCTATCATTAGATTTATTTCACAAGGTCATATCTGTTCTTTATACATATAGTATTAGAAACTTCTTATGCTGTTTTGTCTTCCCAGACAACCATTTACTAGGCATACCGTTCACACAGATTCTGACATGCCGCTATGGTATAGAATGCGTTATCATGTGGGCTAACGTCGTAGCATTGGATTGGCCTCTTAACACAGTTGTTGCCGTCGAAGTGCCACAGATGGTCGGCCCGTCGGCAGTTCAGTACCCCAGGATCTGAACCATAACATTTACTTATATTGGGTAAACCAGCCACAGCATTTATGAGGAGCACGATTAAAACCACGTTACCAACCACTTTCTTGATATCCATTTCCTTAAATTATAATCAAATTTTATATTGTTAACAAAATACATGTTTTTGTAGATCTAAGTTAACAATGAAAATATATTCATAATGCCGGATACTAATTGTTACCTTACTTAAAAAAATGTTTATATAATACGTTTTGCTGAGAATTAACCTGGACAAAAATGAAAGATTAAAAGGCATTGAAAGGTTTTATCTTTGTAAGAAAACCATTAAATCAAAATATCCTATTAATATGATAAACTCTGATGGTAGTCAAGCTTCCATACAATTCTGAGATCAACAGCTTTTGAGAAAAGGTCTAGTGAAAAATACCGCTGTAAAGGTTGAAGGACAAAACAAACAAAAAACAGTCAATGAACGGTGAACAAGCCACTAATACGTGCTGCTGGTACATGTAGTATTTAGTCAAATATTTTATTGGCAAACTCCTATACATGTTCATCATTATTGCCTATTGTACATAAACTTGGGCTGGGAACGAATAAGGAATTCGATGTTCGAATATTATTTTTCCATATTCGAATATATTCGAATATTCGTTTTTACAACTTTGTTCTTTGACGTATACGTATCCGAAATTGATTGCGTCGGATACTATATTACTTTAATATACTTGGAATAATCGACGATTCAAAAGACCTTTATTACTATGTCAATTTTTTTATTTTATTAATTGTAAATCGATAAATATGTTTACTTAAATTATCACATAAAGTCATAAACGTTGGTTTTTATCAATATTTCTATGTGTTCGCTCTTCTATAGATCCATGCAACTACTTTGAGCTACCTTAAAACATTTTACGACGTTTTAAATGTTTCTCGTGGGTAAATTAAATTTTAAACATAGAACAGCTTTCTAATTTAGAGAAACTATACTAAGTTAAGTGCACCGTTCTTTCGGTTGCTAATAATAAATCATATGTATTGACATGTACAGTTGTAATATTATCGTCATTATTCCACAGATATGAAAAACCTAAATCTGACAACATATTTTTAACATTTTTTGACCAGCTTATTTAATAAATTACCATTTATATCTTTTAAAAACAATATTTTTTTAAAAAAGACGCCAATGATTCTGTTAGAAGTGAAGCTTTATAAGAATAAAGTTTATGTGAAATTTTAATTTTTTTTATCAATATTGCTGGGTTATGCGTTGCACTGTCATAACTCTGTAAGTAAAATACTGAAATGGTACATGCCACTACTATATGTACCGGTATACGTTGGTAGCGAAGCTTCTGAAAAAAAGTTACTTTCAATTCAAGACAGTGGTGGCTCAGAAATACTCCAGACAAAAAGTCGGAACATAGGGAGAAAAATCGGCGGTGATACACATTACTGTAAGTGAGCATAGAATAGTTTCCGGTTTGATTTGATTTTTCCCTTTGTATTTATAAAAGGTTAAAAACATTGAACTTAAATAAACTGAATTGTGTTTTTGTTTAAATTAATACCAAATATATCAATCATCAGATGAAATAATGTTCGTGCATCTCAGGTTCGCATCTGTGGTGTTGACAAAAAAATTGTAATTATTTATTTGTTCTGTTGCTATTTAACTTTTAAAACGATATAAATAGATAATATGTTTAAAAATATTAAATCATATAAAAATTATTGAAAATAAAAGATATACATACTATTGTGTTGATGTTTCCAACCGAAATACTCACAGACGGGCTGACAATATCATTATATAATGTTGAACATTGCCGGATACATGTCTGGTTGGCAGCCAGTGGCACAGAGTTACATCATCTAAATATCATCAATCAAAATAAACTTCTTGGATACCTTTTCGTACTGAAAAAAAATTTAACAGAATTAAAGGCATTTATTGAACGTGTGCATATTCACATAAAATGGGCGTTGTATTTTGAAATTCTTAAATGGAAAAGTTGATGTACAAATATGCAGAAGAGCATATTATCAATTTAGCCTCGTTTCCATTTCTATAGTCTTAAATTTCCACTTTAAATGCATATTGGCTCCATATAGTCTAGTTTTATATAGTATTTATATGAAATGTATATCATATTCCACTTAGTTTCTTAATTTTCTGAGTCCAAAATATCTATATCAAATGCATATCTTACTCTATTTAGCCTTATTGTCAATCTTAGGGTAAAATCATATCAATTCCTAGTTTATTGTAATTGAAGTAACAATATTCTGCCAAAATGTAAAGTGGTGTTATGAAATAATAAAGTGGTCATTATACATAAACATTGTTGAAAACAATATTGGCCCTATTGGACTGCAACAAAACCTATATCAGACTCAGCTAGCATCTCGTCCAATATAGTTTTATAAACTGTTTACTCGTCCAATAGAATTCAGTATTGTACTCAGCAATATATAACAACCTTATTAAATATGAAAAAAATAAATTTGCATACAGCTTTATCGCCACATGGACTTGTTTCTGCCTAAAATTGTAATCAGTTTAAACAAATTTGACATAAATGTCAAGCAATAGTATAAATGACTCTAATATTTTATATTAGTGCCTGGAAACAATGTTGAAGTATGTTTTTCTCGTAAAACAGCTGACACATTAGCCAGGCTTCTATCGCAACAATAAACAACTAAATTTATCATTATTTAACTGACATATATTGCCTTAAACAATGTAAAACACTTACTACATATTTAATTTATTGTTCTGTTGTTGTTTTGCTTATATTTCCTTGGTGTTTCTTGTTGTTATCATCTGTGGTTGTTTTGTTTTTGTTGTTGTTGTTGTTGATGTTATTATCATTATTATTATTTTTTATTATTATTATTATTATTATTATTATTATTATTATTATTATTATTATTATTATTATTATCAATATGTCGTCGTCGTTGTTGTTTGTATCGTCATTGTCGACGTAGTTGTCGTTTTTCTTTTTGCTGTTTTTTAGAGTTTCTTTTGTGGTTTTTATTTTGGGGGCTGGGGTCTTTTTGATTTTGTGTTTTTGTTTTGATTTTGTTTAACTCGGAAATGTTGTTGCCACATTTGTGATCAACTATAGTCTTCATGAATACCAGTCCCCACTTTGGTGTAAGCTTTATGTCTTATAGTCCGCAATCCTTTGGTTGTTATGGCAGATGACTGATCACTGCTATATCAGATAAATGACTGTAGGATTTGTCATTTAAAATTTTAATTTAAGATTAGTTAAAGAGTATATTAGCGTAAGTTTAAAATTTTTAAAATTAGTCATAAAGTTTGCTACATACTGTACTCTGAGAATAATACATTTCAATAAAATGTCAGTACAGTTAGAATTCAAATATACACACACTGTACCCAGTGGCAAAATGATGACTTGTCACATGGGGGTACATATCATTCATATCATAACCTTTAGCTTGACTTTGCAAGAACAACACATGTTGCCACATCTGGTACAAAAAAAATCAACATGGCAGTAATATACAATCCCGGGGTGATTAGCTCTAAAATGAAATGTCACGTTAATTAAAACTTCAAAAGATTATAAATAAAATATTGTTTAAACTAACATTACGTTCAAATTAGCACTTACTTTTTTATATGACCTAGTTCTATACTATGATAATGTACATGCCATTTATTAAGCGGCTCTCTGTTTGATGTTGATATTGTTTATTTATTAGGTGTTATTCCATAGTGAGAAAAAAAGGTAGCACTCTACAGTTAATTTCAAGTTCCTGCCGACAATGTTGTATAAGCAATACGTCTAATACTTCTGATACCAAACTACACAACCTGGAAAAAGAAAACACATTTTGTTGAGATTATATATGACATCAGATTGCACATCTTCAATGAAATTATCCCATCTGCAATAGGCAAGCAGTCAAGAAAGTTGCAATTCATTCCGTTGAAGCCCAAAATCCAAAATCTACTGTGGCCCAAAACCCAAAACAACACATTTCATCCCTCTGCCATTATACAGGCTAAAGAAACACTGTCTATACATGCAAAATATCACAAAGAAACTGGTGCGCAACCACGTAGATTTTTTTGCTACGGCTAAAAAATTGGTTGTACCCCCCCCCCCCCCCCCCCGTTAAATGACTTGGTGTTGTTTAAAAGCAATGTTTACAAAAGATGGCGGCCATGACATCTATAACATGTTTTTCGAATTTGGCAGTGATCATATTAGGTGTCACAAAACAAATTTCAGGCTGAAAATGCTCTTTAAATAAACAGATTGGTCACTATATCCAAGAAATCCTCCCTGACCATTCGAAGCTGTGGCTTACATTACTGTTGTGTGCTACCTTAAGAGTAGGCAATGAGTTAGCAATCAGTGAGCCAGATGAAACTTTTGACAACGATGGGAAGAGCTCAGTTGATTGAAAATAGAATTAAGTTCATTAATGTCCTGTCGTCTTTATGTACAATCTGTTTCTTTTACAAAAGCTTGCCGCCTGTTTTGCAAAACGAAAATCATTTAATCACATGGTAAGGTAGACAAATCTTACAATTTCAATATAACTGAGGTTATCATTTGAGTTGTCTCGCTTTATTATCCCAATCTATTGCCACTGTCGGTCACTGAATACGCACAAACGCAATTTGCCTGGGTTTTTAATATGGCATTGTTCGTTCGCGGCACATAACATATCTATCCCCCAGTATTTAAAATGATATCTTCTGTATTATATTTTTATTAATCACTCTTATTTAAATCACATTAGTGGAAAACAATCAATAACGACTAAGATATGAAATTTTATCACTAACATAAAATAAAACAGGCGGAATCATGTGACTGAGTAGTTCCAATGTACATGTATGTCGCTTTTTCATGTCAGAGATTTATTGCGAAGCATCAAAGCCGAGCATATCAAATTCAATAAGGCCGAAGAACTCTCACTGATTTTGAAACAATCTTCACTTTGATATCACAGGTGCTCGTCCAGTCGTTGTGCCCATATAAAAAAAATTGAAAATAAAAAAAAAATAAAAATAACAATTTTGGGTTAAGAAAAAAAAATAAAATTTTTTTTTTTCCTATATAATATTTCTACGAAAAGGTCACCTACTCGCCGTAACGCTATGGAGCTTTACTAGGACACGCTGTGGAATAACCACAATGTCGAGTTCTGTAACAATAACAGCTTTTATGCTACTCTTTACACATCATGCATTTAGGAAATTGTTAACATTTTTCATCTACCTTACATGCAATGTTAGATAACTTACATTTTAACTCGGACACTCCAATTTGTAAAAATCTTGCATAATTCCGTTGATGGTCGGCCATTTTGTCAAAAACGAAAGTACAAAACATACATCGTACTGTTCCGCTCTCCTAGCTTGTTTCCTACGACTACGTGCAGGGAACAGTAGACAACGGTAACCATCAATTTATTGATTACTGTTGTCTATTGTTCAGCGAACGTAGTTGTAGGGGACCATAACAGCGAAACAGTAAGGTGTATGTTTTGTACTTTCGTTTTCGACAAAATGGCCGACAATCACTGTTATTTTGCAAAAATTTTGAAAATTGGAGTGTCCAAGTTTAAATGTTAGTTATTTAAGAATGTATGTAAGGTATATGAAGAATGTTAACAATTTTCTAAATGCACAATGTGTAAAGAGTAGCAAAATAGCTTTTATTGTTACAGAACTCGACACTGTGGTTGTTCCACAGCGTGTCCTAGTAAAGCTCCGTAGCGTTACGGCGACTAGGTGACCTTTTCGTAGTAATGGTATACTTAAAAGTAATATGATATTAGAAATCTTCGACCAATCGGGAACTATTTTTTCTTTCCTGAGAAGGCTTAAAAATTAATGCGCATGTCATTTGACAATCATTACGCAGTGATCTCCCCTTAATTTTTTCGGCGTTAGTGTACTTATCGCTTCGAGGAAATTGGACTACTGTCGGATTTTGCAAATAAGGACATCAAATGAGGACAATTTCGTTACCATTTTTTGTTTGGTCTGACGACCAAACAAATAACAATCAGTATTTTGCGCTATTGGCATTGATTGGAGATATATTTTAACCAATATGGTCGTAAGGGTAGTTTTATTTACCCTTTTTCCTAATCATAAAATACCCTCATAGACCAAAAGACATATTAAAACTACCCCAAGACAGCTTATTTTCAACAGAACACACGATTAGTTTCAAAAATAATTTTATTACTATCTATGATCACAGAAATGTTAGTCATTATACAAATAATACAGTGGTTCCAACTGTGACCTCTCCTAATTGGGTTACGTTATTTTCACTTTAGATAAATGAGAAAGTCATGTTTTATCAACGATTTGCTTACATAAAGACTTCTTACACATTACATTTCCGTAGTTGTCTATATATATATAAACCGTCTTAACGAAAAAATAATGATTTAAAATGTTAAAATGACATCATGCGGTGGACGTCATATAAACAATGCAACGTTGAAAATATATTTACCCTATATTGTATATGATAAATCGGTTAGCAGAGGCTGGGGTAAAACTCCAGTGCTAGCCGTCGTCGATGCAACGGGATATTTACCTCTAAATAAGAAGACACGTCGCTTGATGGCAACCATATTTGTAATAAGAAGTGAACAGAAATATAGTCATTTTTTTGTAATAAGAAATGAAACGAAATATGTAAGTATATGCCTAAAACTCCCAAAACACAAAAAGGTTTGGAATAAATAAATATATTAGTGTAATCTTTTATCGGATAAGTCGCATTAGAAACCACCATCCATCGATACAAATTTAAATAACTGTAAAATAGACAATATATTTACCCGTTTTATATAAAATAACGTAACAAATTTTATAGTTAAAAGCTGAAATCAAGACAATAAATATCATCATTTAGTTCGACACAATGAGCATGCATTAGTACCATGTACAAGACAAAAAATGCATAAGTAATTAGCTGTATATATTATACACGATTATTTTTCAACATGATATCATGACTTAGTAATGTTCAACATTTTAATCTAATTCTGGTTCGTTGAGATTTGTATCACTCTTACGTTGGTCTTTTACAGCAAGACTTGCACACATTGCCTTGAATAGTTCAATTGACTTTGGGTTCAATGATTCCGTTTTGGTTGATTTAAAGTCCTTTGTGTTTATTGTATAATTATTAGCACCACTGTTAGTTTCTGATTCTTTATACTGTTTTTGCTCAATATGTGACGATTCTCCTAAACTATTTTCATTAAACTGATATAATTTCGTATTTTCCGGACTGGTATTAACGCTATTTCCATTCGTATTTGTTTCACTTTTGATGACGTAGTCGTATCCATTTGACTGGTAGCTATTTTGAGAAAGATTGTCGGGTTCGATATCAGATGTATCCAAGAGGTAGGTGTATTTAGATTCGGGTGATACAACATCTGAAACTTTTCTTCGTTTACTTTCATTTAATTTTTCACTGTCATTGTTTGTGTACGTTTCCTTTTTGTACATCGGAATGATCTGCTGAGGTTTTGAGCCTCGTTTTCGTTTTGCAGCACCGGAAGTTCCACTCTTCACAACAGTATTGGTCTGATATTCTAACTGGTGTGTAGTGATTTTATTTCTATCGAAATCTGAAATTTCTGAACTGTTGTGCGAGGATTGAGCGATTGCAGAAGGACTGTTAGCTACTGTTGATAGACTTTTATCGCTAAATGATGATGACGATAGGTCCAGCGGAAGTACGGTTTCGTTTGGTTCTGACTTTATTGAAGGCATCAAACCAGTCTGAATCGGTGAACCATAAACATTTGGTTTTGGTGATGGTTTCTTACACAAACCTTGTTCGGAACTTTTCCTGTATGTCGGACTGTCCATGTTCACCATATTTACAGGGAGATTTTGCGGAATAAAATTTGCTTCGTTGATTTTATCTTTCATATTTTCAACATCGATTGCAAGATAAGGGTCGCCTTCGTTTTCATACAAACTTTGCTGTAGAACTTTTCGAGCCGGAAATCCTCGTGCGCGTTGATTCTGGAACCAAACGTTTACTCTATCCAGAGGAATGCCCAAACGCATTGCTACAGCGTTCCGGATGTTCATGGGTGGATTTGAATTTTCTTCGAACAAACGACACAGCACGTTTAGCTGGAACATTGAAAATCTTTCCCGCCTGTTGTAGGACTCACGTGTACTGTTCTTCTTTGATTCTGTAAAGAAAGAAAATAGTTAAATACAAAACAAACAACACAGGATATGGGATGATGAGAGGGGAAAGTGTCTTGAAGTGAATTGGTCTATAAAACAATAAATTATTGTTTTGATAGCACTTGGCATCTGACATAACGAGAAATCATGAAAGAATTATATATATATGAATGTGGTTGTCAAGTGTGAGACAAGTGATCCGATATTTTATAATTATATTCATATTCAAAGTGGTTTTGAAAATTGTTACATATCGATATGACGCATACCTTGAGAATATTTCAACATCTCTAACGTCGCCATTTGCTGTTCCTTACTCTCTAACCACGCCTTCATTTTGATGTAAGGTAACCTTCCGCGAGGGGACAACTCTTCCCATTTTTTGTTACGCCCCTTTTCCATGAGAAAGCTCAGATTGCCTTGACTGGTATCTTGCATGATAAAACGGGCAGCAAAGCGCTGTGACACGCCAAATCGTTCCAACGTCACTCTGAACTCATCCACCAACTTTTGGACGTCAACGTTTTCCTGTAATGACATGGAATTACGTCATTTATTATTAAAGCATAAAATGGTTAATTTCTTTCCGTATTTTAACACATATGATAATTTTTGCATCTGATTCATTTTGTGTTCGTATCATGATAATGTAATGTTATAAATGTGTACGAAAAGAGCAATAAAAGAAGTCAATCTGATTAATTTCTTCAATCTACAACTTTATACATGTATATTTTTTCCTGTAAAATAATATTATCTAGTTTGACAAATATTATGATGGTTAAACGTGTGTACTACTAGTATGTATGATTTACCATATTATCAACCGATACGTCACTTCCCGGACTAATGGGTGGATTTTTTGTCATTTCTACGAAGCCATTTTTGCTGGAAGTGCCACCAAGCGGAGGATTTGAAAGACCGCTGTCAGCTATATTTAAACCATGCGGATGCCCTCCTGCCATCATCAGAAGCTGGTCGGGACTGTAAATAGCGGGCATGTAGCTCAGTGGTGTTGAAGACATCGTACTGAACGCTGGGAACGCCGGATGTATGCTGTTTGGCGATGTATTTCCGCTAGAACTTATCGTCTGCTTTGACATACCTCCGGTAATAACTTCTGGGAATATTTCCCCGACTGGTGTGCTTAGCAGTTTTCTACATAAATCACCATATAATCTGTTATAATCGACTTGTGACTGGTTCATATCCAATTCCGGCTGGAAAAAAACAAAACAAAGAAAGATGCGTTAATTCAATAGTGTATTCAACAAGAATTGTGCAAAAGATCTACGTACTTTTATTGAGATTTACCAAACTCGGATATTTTTGCCATTTATTCGAAAAAACAAGTGTAAGCTTGATCACGTTATTTCTACACATATAAAAATACTTAAAAACATATATATATATTTATAAATTATTTTGCAATTTTTACTACCTTTGGCCATATTAAGTATAGAATGACTGGACTTAAAAGGTTGCAGACTACATTTTTGTTGACATGGTTGATGTATTGGTTTTGTTGTTGTTCTTCTTCTTGTTTATTAGAGAAATTAGAATTAGTAAATATTCAACCATTTGCTGGAGTTTTTCAAAGTTTGTGAAAGCAGCCTATATGTCACCACAATATGACTTTTATATCAATTGCGCCTCATAAATTATTAAACATCATATTATATTCTTATATTGTCTAAATGATGTAATGTATAAAGTAGAATGATGTATTATAACGCGCTATTTGTAAAAAAAAAACTAATGAATCATTATATTTAAATCTATAGTTATATAAATAAATTAGTACCATAAAAAAGTCATCTTGCCCGCGAGTGGTTCATATATGTACTTTTGATTAAAGGTATATACATGTACATAATAGATCACGTGATTGATAGGTAACGTACAAGACAGCTTTCCATTTATATCATTAATTATACGAATATTAATTATGTCTTGTCGCTTTCATTATGAAAAACTACGCTTATCTAAAAACAGATCTTGACAATTTTATATACGTTTGATAGATTTTTATAGCCGTTGGGTTTTATGTTAAAAACCATGCTTAAAGAGAAGAAGATTTGACACTTTACTGCGATACAATGTTTCAATAAAGTGAATAATAATAATGTAGGTCCAGATCTATATTTAGCTCCATGGTATATGTTTAAGAGTCTCGTGCGGTACCACGTGATGCACGAGTTAGGTCATTGTAACATTCATTCCACAGATAACTTCAATTTTGAACATCATAAATTAATCACATTAGTAATCAATTCATTAAGACAAGTTGGGGTACATTTTCTCCAAAATCTAAGCTACTTGCGACGTCCCTGCAACTTAATGTCAACCGGTGTCGTGTTAAAAAAATAATGTCGTGCAAATTACCAATCACCGTTTTGTTTCTGATTGTATTAGTGGTTATAAACATTGCTGACTTTCTTGCGTGTTGTATATTTTTTCTTGTTACTTAATAAATCGTATAAGAAAGAACATTTCGGGAATAAGTATATATTCATTCTATCCTTATTTGATAATAATCTAACTTAAGAGTTCATGTTTAGCCTTTACCTAAAGATATATAATTGCACAAAAAAGTGAATTATTTATTTATAATTGTACTGTTGAACATTTTAGCTCATTTATAGTTGTTTCACGCCAATAGATTAATTATATTTCAACTTCTCAACATCAAAAACTTTCAAATAGAAAGACCCTGACAAAAACAAAAATCCAAAAACGTATATATATACGAAACAGTTTTTTCTGATTAACTAAACATTTATAAAACTTTGAGGGGGAAAGATAGTCTTTTAACGAAGTTATAGACCGTGTTATATACAGTGTATAATGTAAGACTATATAGTACACGACACATTTACAATGCTATATGAAATAAAACACATCTTTTGTGACGCTTTAAATGCGCGTTTATAACAATTTAGACGTTACCTTCACATCTGGAACAGATAAGCGGTCCTCGTGTTTTATTTTTCTTTGAGTTTCCATCTTTTAAACTGTCTCAAGTCCAAACTATTCTGTGCAAAGCTTCGTTTCAATCAAAATTATAAATTCATACTGTTTTTTCCTCGCGTAGAAATAAATAAAAGTCAACTGTCTTAATTGTGTACGTTGGTTTAAAGCTATATAACTCCCAGTGTGAATTAGTTTAACTTGTACTCCATGAATTCGCTATCAAATCTAGATAATATACTATCATTTGATTGTATCCAATATAATGTATTATCAAATGTCACCAAATCTAGATAACATATGTTGTCTGTATAAATGTCCGATGAATTGTGCGAAAATTGTCTACATGTGTCTTTATCAACATATTCTATCATTCATTATCAATCAATCAATCCGCCCGGGGGTGTCCGGTAGGGAATAAATTAATCAAAAAAGGTGAGGCAATCAACGGGGGGAGAAGTTTGAGCAATAATGGAAATGATTGATTGAACACTGTCATAAGAATAGTAGATTTTGACATCTATTGTTTATCACACTCGAGTTGAGGTAATCATGTACATTATTAATCAATCAGAGTATACCTTAGGGCAGAACAGGGGAGGTAATTAGCACATTTAACTGCCGCCGAATGTGTAAATTAACCAAAAGAAACTTGTGAAAATATTGATGAACGGAAACAGAGAGTAGGGCTCTATGAAAAAATAATCAGATCACCTTGCCTTCTCCCCTTGTTATATAATTATGTAATATATATTGACTTTATTTGGTGATTTATAGATTATTAATTTACATATATGTCGTATCAGTATAATATATATAAAATTCTGAATTTTATGGTCATGTTTTTAGCAGACCTCATTGCAATATATTTCACATTTAAAAACTTAATACGGCTTTACTCGTATTTAAAACTTCCTACGAATATTATATCTCATTGCATTATATTCGTATTTTAAACTTAATACAGTTATGTTCATATCTAAAATTGAATTTTACGACTGAATTTGATTTAAAATTTAATACGACTACATTCGTATTTAAAACTTAACACGGCTTTATTCGTATCTAAAACACACAAATATACGGCTATACTTGTATTTAAAACTTAATACGACTTTGTTCTTTTCTAAAACACAACTATACGGATATAAGTTAGTATTTTAAAACTCAGTACTGGTTGGATCCAGGAACGGATTCGAAAGTGTGGCTATCAGCTTATAGCTTCTTTCACAATCGAACTAAAATAAATTCTGTATAAACCAATTATTTTAATTTATGTAACAATTTGATGAATTTTTATTATAATAACATAGTGTTAAAAACCCAAAAAATCGATGACTGTATATACAGTGCATTCTTGTAATGCATGATTTGATAACTTGTAAGTAAAATGAAAATTATAAAACATGTTTATAACTTTATATATATTTATCAAATATATAAAGATAGATTTAATTGCCAGCCGGCAAGGTGTCTATAAATATTTGCAAAGATTGTTTTCACAATCATTTTTAAGACAACATGGGAACATTTATATCTATTGTATTATTTACCTCATGTTGTCATGTATATATTGTGCATGTCTTGAGTGAAATAAAGATATTGTATTTTATCACACACCCGTGCCGATTTTGCGACTCCGTAAAAATGGTATTGCACGGCCGTGCATATATTTTGACGTGACGTCATTAGCGTTATACAAACATAGTGTAAAGAAGCGCTAAATGTACGCGTTATACTATAGGCGCGTCAATCAAAAATGACTCTTATTTCACTATAAACGGTCTTTATTTTGGGTATGTGATAAATAGAATATTAAATTCCTGTAAGTTCAATACTGAATTTATTGCACTTGTTGAATAAAAATAATATTATGCTCGCCAAAGGCTCGCATAATATAATTTTATTCAACTCGTGCAATAAATTCAGTATTGAACTTACACTCATTCAATATCCTTTATGTATATTGTATTGAAAAATAGTGGATGTATTATGTATGTGTATATATGCGATGTAACGTTTAAGAATACTATCATTTTTATTTTTTAATCTCTCCTCGCTATATTGATTTATGCAAACAAACAGTATATAAAACAGTACTACTATACAAGACACCTAGTATGGTTAAATTTAGAAATACGAATAAAGTAGGAAAAAAGAAACGTGTTGTTAAAGTAATCCAGAGACCCGTTGTGCGAGTCCCGGCTGCGCATGCCGATTTTTCGTGTGATTTTTCTATAGATGTATAATTTCCCGCTAATGACTTTTTCCATATATATGAGATGCTTTGTTTCTTTGAACTATCAAAGACACGTCTTAGATTTAAAGATTCTGTATATACTGGTTTGAAAGTAAAATGTACATGTTTAGATTTCAGCATTGTGATTTATGTACAGTGTATATATTTACTATAAACTTGAGAATTGAGTACCCATCGAGTCGGTGCTAGGGGGCGTGAGAGATGTTGCACTTATTCATTATTCCTCATGAACAGACTCAATCAAACCGAGTCTGCAATTTTCATGTAATTCTGTCGCGGGTCATTTACAGTTTGTATTTATTGATCAATAAATCAATTTATTTTAACTCCTGGCTTTTTTAATATAATTTTAAATGGGGGTTTTTGTAAACACCCTGTTACGGGTCATAAAAACCTTAGATTTAAAGTTGGGGAAAAATTCCCCTTGGTTTTCCCTTCTGGCGAAAAAAAGATTCAGGGGGTGTAATAATGCCACAGGAATTTTCTAAAATTTAAAAGGCGGTCTTTACGAAACCATTATAAAGCTAAGATTTTTTTAAGTTAATTATTAGTTCGCTAAAAATTCTTCAGGTAAAAAACCATCCTCGTGTAAAAAGGGAAAAAAACTACAATTGCAGGTTTTTTTAAACCCTGTTTAAGGGGCCCCTTTGGCGGGATACCAGATAAAAAATTCCTTGTTTATGCTCCCATACGCGAAATGGGAAACTACCCCTTATTTTTAGCGCAAAACAAAACCCACCATTTTACAGGGCGCCCCTGGGACAGAGGGAAGGTCCCAACCCCTGCGTTTAATTTTACTTGTGACATCGGGAAATAAGAATACAAATTTGTAAAAGGACGAGGAACAGCCTAAGTGCTAACTAAGGTCGATTGGTTGAAAGGTTCAAACTTTGTCTGAAAAAAATAAAAAGGGGCATAGGTTTTTCCCCCTCCCAATAAGCTTGAACGGTCTTTGTGACGTAACCCAAAAACCCAAAAATAAAAGCAGACGATAAATGTAAAAATCTCACGTGCATTGGCAAATATCCTGCCTTAATGAATGGGGGATTTAACTAATACTCTTATATGTTTACTTCAGATTTTTAAAGCCTAAAAAATAAAAAATCAGTCATATTTTAAATTTTAGATTCGAAAAAGCCCAGGGCTTACACGGAACCAATCCAACCCCAAATATTGAATATTTTTTCCCTGCAAGAAATATTCCTTATATTTTACTAATTTTTATTGCTAATCGTCATTAACCGTGCAAAGATGGGTCTATACTGTGGCCGGGTACAAACATGACATCATACGCCTGATCCGCACCAACTCTATAATTATTTATATAACCGTTGTCCCATTCTACTTGAACCCAGCCCTCTGGAACTTTGGGAGGTAGTTCGCGGATTGTGCCAAAGCCATTACTATCCTGCAAATATATTAAAACATCAGTACTTTTACAGCAATTATCTGGATCAAACTTCTCTTTAAGTGTCTTAGGCATAACGGAACGGTAAAATACTTATTGTAAGGTGTGATTCTGCATGCCGCTTATCTCAGTGGGTGGAGGTTCAAGCCCGAAGTTTTAATGAGATTCGTACTTGCGACATGACCATGTTTTTAACTCAGGACACCAGAACTGTAAGTGGAAGATTCAGACTTCATAGTTATTAGAATAATTACAATATATTATCGTTTTCAAAAATAGTTTTAGTATATCATACCAACACAAATTATTACCTGATCACCATATCTCCAATCCACACCACGTTGAACTCGACCACCAACATACAGAGCATTGGCTAAACCTGCCCCAGCTGTAGGCGGGGCAGTAGTTAAAGGCCTGTCACTAATGGTGGATGTTCGAGGAGGCGTCGTTGCTGCGTGAGAACCGACCTTTTGTATGTCATATTTGTTTTGAACTCCGTAGCGATAGCTGTTTGTAAAGTTGTTGTCCCATTTCACTGTTGCCCACCCGATTGTATCGACCGAAGTTACGGTACCAGTTTCACCGCCGTCCTGTAACAGATTGTATATTAAAGAAAAGCGCATATCATGCTTATTTTCGTGAAAATTCACCACTTTCCGTTTAATTATCATTTGTAAGCGTCTGTTTGACCAGGATCACAAAAAAATGTCGTGGCAGTTCAAATACTTTTCCAAAAGTCTAGAAAACGAAATGTATCGGTGCTGGCGAATGTAAATCAACTACTAGCTATATCACTTTAGAACTCTTATTAAGATTTTGTTTTCCAGAGATATTTCACAACACTATCCAAAATACACTTTTCTACTGTTTTTTTTTTATCATTATTTCAAATACTTCTGGTCGTGCCCATTGTAGACCAGCCCACTTTTAAGACACTCTTCTACAGGGAAAATTAGTGAGAATATTCCAAACAGAAAATTGCCTGATAATTTGGTCTCACTTAAATAAAATCTGACATACATGCACTAGTATTAGACTGTATTGTACAAGAAAACAAGTAAACTACAAAAAGGATTATCTGGCGCTTGAGGTTAGGTTTTATCAGAGACTCGACATAGCCCCGTAAGGCCGTATCCGCCTAAATAAATAATAATTTCCGTCTGTATACAGTCTTCTAGTGCGAGATTCTCATGAAATTGCTGTTTGACAATGTTCAAACAAAATGAGCACATAATGTATCTCGCTCTTGTCATTAGCTTTAATGTTACACTTCAAAATATAAAACTATTTCAATAAATTACATGCCAGGTTTCCAATAACGTTACATATTCGCAAACTAGCCTCCAAACTTTGGAAATTGTAAAATATTTTGAATTCATGTACCTGATTTCCCCAAATCCAGTCTGGACCCCTCACGACACGATCACCGTCATGGAGTGCTTCTACAGACGTAAAAAAACAAAGAAACAAATGTTAATAGTTTCAAGATATGTATTTATTCTTGCTGTTTATCAAATAGAAATATATCTTTTGTAGATGTTCACATGACAATGCTGCATGCAAACGATTTAGGCATTGCAATTTTACAAAAGAAGACATAAATGTTGTTTTTTCTATACAATTCTTTATAAACAAAGTGACTCCCTGGACATGGTCAATTTTGATCCCTGAGTCATGATTTATATAACTTCTGTGGTAGTTTTAAAGTCTAAAGTTCCTGTTCCTGTGACATGCTTAAGGCATAACATTTTAGAGAATCACCGGTAGGACCACCAGGTCATTCAAGTGAAGTTGGTCAAATTCCATCGAGAAGTTTAGGAGATGTTGTTTTAAGAAATTGTTGTCAACGACAGACGATGGTAACACTGGCATCACAAAAGCTCACCTCTGAGCACAAAGCACAAAGTGCTCAGAGGTGCAAAAAATGCGGAAATACCCGTTTAAAATCGCGAAATGTGCAAAATATCCTATGATTACTGATATATAAAAAATTAAAGTTTAAATGTCTGTAAGTAACTATAACTACTACAGGCTTTTAAAACATGGAAGCTGTGTGTTCAGCTGTAACAAATTAGAATGTTTATCATAACAGCAATTAGATACAAATTATGTAATTAAAAATAAGAATAATAACAACAACAACAACAACTTAAAACCATTACCCATAGGTGCAAATGTGGACAAAATAATGTGGTTTGTCGAAGAAGGCGTAACCATTGCGATGGTGCTTGTACTGGTGTCAATTGTTGTGCTATACATTATTGTAGTTCCAGTAGTAGTGCCTGCAATAAAACAGCATGTGACGTCATGTAATTGTTTAATACAAGGTACCTAAAGAATAATCATAAAGAATAAATATATCTTTGCTAATGGTCTATTCTGGCTTTAGATTTCCTTTCCTTTAAATTTACATGAACCATAACGCACTGTACCTGATGGTGTACCGGAAGTGTATCCTTTATTTACAGGCGAAACATCGTATTTCCCTCCAACCCCGTATCTGTACGAGTTCTCGAAACCGTTTCCCCATCTCACTGTAACCCATCCTGGCAGAGAACTTCCGGTAACCACACCTGTCGTGTTACCATCTTGATCCTTCCATGTCCAATCAGGACCCCGTACAACTACATCACCTTTTACCAATAATCCTTTAACAATATTTTAACTTTTATAAGAAACGAAGTAATACTCAGGCGGTGTGACAGTAATCTACTGTTGTAAGAAGTAAAATAAATTATGATGATACTGTGATATTTTTTGTTAAGTTTTACGGCGCACGAACGCAGTACTATAGTTCGATTGACGCCGGGAGAGGGTTTGGCTTATATGACGGTAATTCACTTTTATATAAAATGTAGTCATGTTCATTGGTGTGAAAATTATTCACTTTTGCAAGAAGTTAAGTCATATTTAATTGGTAAAATAATATTCAGGTTGTGTGACAGTAATCTGCTGTTATAAGAAGTAAAATAAATATTTCAGATCATGATTACTTTTATATCATGTTTAGCGGAATGACATGTATTTACTTTTTGTTAGAAGTCAAGTCATATTTGAGAGAAATTTATTCATTAAAAATTAAGTATTATTTGAATATATTTGAATATACTTTAATTTAGTTTAGTCATATTAAACTTGTTTGAAAATGATCTGCTTATATAAAAAATAAAAAAGTCGTATTCAAATGATGTGACAGCAATATACTTTTATAAGAAATAAAGTAAAATTTGGATGACGTAACATTACTTTTATTAGAAAAGATGACATAGTCATATTTAAATGGTGTGACAATATTTTACTTTCTTTAGGAATGAAGTGAATGAATTTTGTAATAGGGAACTATTTTTCTGTAATTTTTGAGAGCATGCTCTTCATTCCATGTTTGATGAAGTATTGATGAAGTATTTTGCGTACATATATTGAATATAAATAAATGTATATATCATTTATCTTTAAAGCTACATGCCCCCAGATGAGTCAAAAATATTTCAATAAAATCAAACTTGAGAAAAATGTACTAAGATGTAAAAAAAAGTAAAAAGTTCTAAGATTCAAGTAATTAATTATTTTTTACATGTAATGTGTGATTAATGACTAATTTTTCAGTATTTACAACTATATTTCTACTGCGTTATACTAACGCAGTAAATGCTATTTATGCATATTTTGACCACTTTTTGGTAATTTACATGGTTTGTGTCATTGATTATGCGTAAATTGCTTCCTTTTGGTTACTTCCCAATATTACACATTCAAATATATTTTCAATTTTGTCATGAAAATTAACATGAATCTGGGGGCGTGCTGCTTTAATTCAAGCATACGAAGGGTACGACATAAGATCTCACGTGTTGACTGCGGTGTAGATGACACTGCGCTCATCACTTGCGATGTCCCCTGAACCGAAGTTGTCGTCTGTCCAATAACGGACACAGTGGATACAGGTCTCGTGCTGGTAAATGGCGCCGGTGTTGCGCGCGCAAACAACTGGACTTCATATTTCCCTTGTCTGCCATAAAAGTAACCCTGTTGATTTTTTGTTCTGTCCCATCTTACTACAACAGAACCGTTTAGACGCGAGCTTAGGACAGCTATTACCACACCCGTACTATTGCCATCCTTTAATAACAGGAAATAGATATATTATATGTACTTTCGTCATTCTCAATGTATGCCGATACTTATCTTCAAACTATGTCAACTTGTTACTTATTAGTAAAAATGACGTTATTTAGCTCATATGTTCATAACAAAATATGTTTGTTTCTTTTTTGTCAAAATGTGATTCTAGTAATCTCCCCTGAATACTGAATTGAAACGAGTTCGGGAGCGGCAACTAAATTTACATTTAGCTGCCGCCCCCCTTCAACTCCCCCAAACAGAAGAGTGCACATCCCCCTTCTGGCAACCCCCTGATGTACCTTTTGGATCGGGGGCGGCGCCGAAAAAGTGCTCACTTTTTTATCAACATTTTTCAAACGAAAACATGGGTTTGGGGCCCAAACAGGACATTTTTTCACTATTTAAAGCCAGAAAGGGGGGGGGGGGTCGAATGTGCGTTGTTTCGCGTATATATGAAGGGTTAAGGCTATTAGACGAGCTTCCAGCTTTATATTGTATGAAAAAAGTGCCTTCTTTACATTATTTATAGCACGAACTTCCACATAAGCAGAATTCCAAATAAGAAAATTCCACATAAGCAGAATTCCACATAAACAGAACCATCGATATCTTCGTATACTACTAGCTGGAAACATCCATGTATTTCTGTCCATTTACATCACGAACTAATACATCTGTGTAAGAATTATAAATTCCAAAACAGATTGTAATTTGAAGTGAGATTCAAAAATGGAATATAATTTGCGAGTCCGTTTACTGCAACTTGTCAGTCCTGGTGCCATATGTGAAATCGTGATTTTGTCTCGAGTTGGATTTGAACCTACAACCCCTTGACTGAGTGGCAGACACATAACTATATGGCCCCCACGCAGCATGAAATATAACGGAGCGCACATACCTGATCACCATTGTGCCAGTCAGGACCTCTGATCACCTTATCTCCCACATGGAGTACTGGCATTTTGTTCATTGTTGTTGATGCCGTAGTACTTGTAGAATACGTCTCTTTAAGAAATATAGAAAAAAAATCAACATTGATTTGAGCATCTTAACTTGAGCGAACACTTTCGGCCGATTCCGTCGTCATCCGTAATTAATAACAATCGATTACAAGCTCATCATACATGTATCATATGCAATCCGACTGATGTCATAAATATTGCGCGTTTGTCCTATAATATACCACGACATAAACAAACGTATATAAAATAAAACATTATCAAGCTTAAATGAGTTAATTATACTTGTGCTATATGAAGCAGTCGATGGGGTAGACGTGGTGTGTACAATGTTGTTGTACTTCGTGCTAACCATAGGTGCAGGTCCTGTTGTAGCTCCAGAACAATACCCACAGTATTGCGTACAACCGTACTTCACTGCATCCTTTCAATAGAAACAAAAAAATGGCAAATTTCTACTTCTCCATCATTTTTAGGATTCATACGCGCCAAAATCACAATTATTATCATCATTATTTTGGCTATCATTGATATTTTTTTTGTTAAAACTTATAATTTTTGGTTTAATTTCATATGGCGCCAATTCTGCAGTTATACTGGTGAAAGAATACCTCAGGAGGCATCCTGGAAAAAGAATTTTGTTGTTGTTGATGTTGTTGTTGTGGGTGTTGTTGTTGTTTGTAAAGAGAAACCGTATGAATATAATAAATTAATATATTTGTTATTTAAATCTGTAATTTCCTGATTATATGTATGCAAATTATTATGAAGCCTTTGTGATTCAATATACTAGTAAATAATCTGGAATAAATGTTACTTTTTCAAGTATATTCAACGCACATATTGCAATGAAATATATTGATATAATTAACAATGCACACGACAACTTCAAACAATAAAAGTACGAAAGAGTCGTTTCTTCGTTAATCTCGTAGACTTTGGTCACCATTTTTCAAATTGAGATATTGCTCTGGCCCGACTCCTTGATTGGTCTTGTAACACATGGTTGTCTGTGCTTAGCAGCTTCATACTGTCTAGCATCTTCATACTAGACAGTGATTGAATTGTTCAGCATAGATACAAATTAACAAAGAAAACTTACTTGTTTAGATCCGCACATATTGACTGTCGCTGCAATATCTGCGCAGTCCAGTCTTGTATTCATGCATGACGTCATACCGGAAGGTGCGCATAAGTTACAAGTTTTCTTACAGAACTGACTTGCGATTTCAGGCGTGTTACACACGTCATAATTCACTTTCAAAAATGTACAAGATGGATCATCGGCACACAAACCTGTTGGTTCACAACATAATATAATGTTTCTGGGATACGCGGAAAAATTATTTAAAGAATTTATCATCATAAGATAATAACAAGAAAAAAAGTTAACTCGTGGCCACGAGAAAAATTATAATAACAATATAACATAAAATGGTATTCAATGAAAATACTTCTTGGCACCGTCAGTTAGCTTAGTGAATCGGACGAGACCGGGTTCGATTCCCAGACGATACAAATCACTTTCGTTGCCACAGATGAAATCCTTTCAACGGTCATTCACACTGTACCTAGCGCTCTGCTCTTTGCGAAAAGGGTAAGCATCTAGTACTGATAAACTGCTTCAAAGCTTGCCCGGGAACGATGCGGTGGCCGTGAAATTCAAAGTGGATTATTGCCGTGATCCGGAAGGTTATTTACATAAAACCACCACCAAACAGCTTTGCTTCAGAAATTGATAAACAAACCAAATCCTTATATTCAAGTTGCAATATGATTAACCACTAGGGCGGAAGATGTTCCTTGCTCGTGTAGAAAATAAATTCTTCTTTTCGGTAGGAAAATCGTTTGATAATTTATAAATTCGTTTTCATTTTCTATAACATTAAAGAGATATGGTAAGAAAGTAAAACATTAGAAAACTATAAATTTCGTAAAAGGATGTAATAAAACAAGTACACATCTAATGCCAATGTTTCAAGACTCCTCTCGTATCAAAGAGGAGATAACCATTGCCTTGAAATTAAAGTTTTAGATACAAATACAAGTAATCAACTACCGAACATTACAAATTTTAGGACATTGATGTCAGTCAGTTTTAATATTTCAGACTATTTATTCACTTGCTCCTCGTCGCTTAGGATTCGAATCCCATCGCTGACAAGATTATTTCATGTGGGGATGGTATCTAGGTAGTTTACAAACGATCTATGTTTGTCCTCATATGTCCCCCTGGTGTGAGTAAAAAAAGCACAAATGGGCAACTGTGGTTTTCACTGAAATGCCGCCATATTTGACGAATAAACGAACAAAACCGGTGACATAATGGCGGTAAAACATGTTGACTTACTTGTACGGCTACATTGTACATTACACAGATCACCTCTACAACAGTCTGTACAAACACTTGTCGTTCTTCTACCTACAAATATCTCAGGATCAATTGTTTCACTGGCACAATGCTGGAAATTAAATATCTGATTAAATCCTCGTAGATAAAAATCCTCATAAAGACTTGAAAACATTGCGCCATTGTTTTCTTTGATAATAAAATAACACTTAGTAAACGGAATTGTTCCTTTTGTGCGTTTGGGTTTGTTTACCCGGATAGAGACCATATAGGTGAGCAGACTTGTATACCAACCGTACTGTTTATATTTTATAAACGTCACGATTATCCAATGAAAAGCGGCGTATCGACGTAGCAAATGTACACCGGATTGACTAATCAAAATCGTCAATTTTACATTATTGTTACACAAACAAGTCATATACAGTTTGATATTGTGCCATTAACATTTGAAATTACATAATTTCAAAGTAAGAAGTAAAGAATCGAAAACTATAATATGTTTTTGTTGTTGTTGTTGTTTTTGGCAGCCATATTGGCGGCCATCTTGAATATCTGTACTTTTGCCCGGACTGCGGAACTTAAGAAATAAGATTTTAGAAACTACAAACTGGTAATGTCACTTTTTGTGATACGGTAAATTGCAATAAAACCATACCATCTCTTTAACTAGACGTTTTAGAAAAGAAAAACGTCAGGAATATGGTACTTACGTGCCTTGAACGGCACCCACTTGTGTGTAAAATGTCAGTTTGAAACTCAAGTTGAGCGTCATTAAAACAAACCTGCAAAGTAGATTATAAGATAAAAGCATATTTGACATTTAGCATGATACCTGTGTCATTGTGTAAAGAGTTAAAACATGCACTCATTCTTCTCAAATTAAGTCTACTAAATTGATGATGAACATAAGTACAAATTTTCAACAATTAATTTGCCTTATGGGTTATTATCATATCCTACGGACTAATCCCCGGTATATCTTCACAAAATATATACATGTACATGTACTTGAGAGACATATTTTGCAGAAACAGATTTAGTGTTTGCCCAATGAGAATGCCTAAATTTGAAATTTTCTGGCAATCTATTTCGCAAATATATGACTTCAATTGTGCTTATTTGGCCTTTCATTAAATTTTAAACAACAAGTCTATCTGGTATAGATCTGCGAAAAGTAGGTAGTGAGGCTCTTAAAAAAAACGTCTAAAACATCTACAATTACCCCTTCGTCGCCCCTTATTTACATATTAACTGTGCGTTATGCTAACTGAATTGTCAGTGAAAGGTATTTATCGTTTGACTGACAATTTAAAGCCTTCAGAATGGTTTGACTATGGGTGATCTCTTTGTTATCTATAGACGCAAATAAGAACGGTTCTATTACAGATCACTCATACGTACCAAGCTATGTAAACTGCACTCAAACATTCTGGAAGACTTTGCATTGTCAGTCTATCAATAAATATCTCTCACTGACAATTAAGTATGCATAACACTTATATTTGGAAAAAAACTTAAATTTTGAAAAAATGAAACATTTAATACTTACTTCGTGAGATTCACAATGAGCTATTCTGTGACAAGGATGGCCCTTAGGTAACGCTTCACAGCTATAACATATTGGCCCTCGGTTTACTGGAAAACCTTTATAATGTGGGGGAAATGTTATTTTGAAGTACATTTATGTTGAATAGCTTTACCTAATTTTTTATTTAAAGGCTTTAAAGTTACAACTACTGAGGACCATGGTGTTGAAGGCAACGCGAATGAAAAATCACCGTGTCCAATCGTTACATCGAAAGCTCGCACAAGTAAATTATCATTAACGACTTAGAATATAATCTTCATTTTCAGTCATAGTTAAGTTATTACACTAAATCAAAGTAAATTCGATACATATATAACATAATGATATAGATCCGTGACTAAATCATGGAGATTTTTTAAACAGTTTTTGCGGTATATATAGGCTTTGCTGTCTACCCTTTCCATATGTTAAAAGGCACCGCAGATTTAAAATTACATATTATATATTACCGATACTGCTACACTCCACCTAATTTGGTTAAAACCATTGGGCTCGGTGGAATTGAAGGTTTGGGAAAGAAATAATGTACACAATACAGATTAAACATGTTGCAGGTAATGTAAAATTTGATTAACTGACCAATGCTGTTACATCCATACACATTACACAGGTCTCCGCTGTCACAACACTGATTGCACGAGAAATATTGTCCGTCAGAGGTAGGGTTTGGTACATGATTACCACACGTCTGTAAAGACAATACGGCATTTTTCTAATATTTCGGAAAAAGGTTCGTAATTCTGAATTTAGTAACAGTACACGTCAAATGATCCCCAAACGCATTTTTTAATTTTCTTTGCTAAAATTTTTGAGAAAAACAAAATTTTTTTTGAAAAGTAAAACAATCGCCCCAAAAAGTGAACAATGCAATTTTGAACGGGATGGCATGATTTTAGGGGTTTTTCTAATTGGCTCAAAATATGGCAATTTCCTCAAAAGCGTTTTAACTTGATTTACTAAAATGGTTTTTTAAAAGAGAGAAAAAAATCATTTTTTTTAACTTGTTTTAAAGAACACATTAATTTTTATTTTAAACAACTGATAATAAATTTCATCCACATTTTTGTAACAGTACGTAAACAGAACTGGTTTTAATCTTCTTAAAGGGTAATCATAGAGAAAAAAAAACACACATACCCTCATAATTTTATTATCATTATTATTATTATTATTATTATTATTATATTATTATTATTATCTATTATTATTATTATTGTTGTTGTTGTTGTTGTTGTTATTATTATTTTCGGAATCGGACTTACTACAACTATACTTACTGTACAGTAGTAACTAGTTTTCATAAAAAATAAGTTTTGATTTTTAGTGGTCAGTTTAAAAACAAACTACCTCTCCAGCAAAACACTCTGTGACATGTGTACACAATCGAGGGTTTGCTACAGCATCACAATTCAGACACGTCAGTGCGTTACCTGAAATTATAAATAAAGATGTACATTACTTTTTATGGGGCGAAAACAGAACAGTACAATGTTCAATGTTTTATGTTAAAACATGTCGTCATCTTAGTGCGATATCGAGTTAACTCCTATTAAAGTAAACTGAAGTTAGCCGGTGACGATATGACAGAATAAGAAACCGGGTAATTAAAAGCATTAATGATAATCGATTACAATGAATCGCGGGGTT